GCTGTACATACATTTATAGCAACAACAAACGATTAACATTACCACTGGCATGTATATGTACTTCTCTGTAATTTTGCTTAATTTCAATGTAATTTTATAATTTTGCTTATTTTTCTAGCTTTTTCTTTCAATTTTCTTTTTTTTTCTTCTGTTTGGTACATTTCCTACTTTTTGCTCTCTTTATTTCATGTAGTAGAAATTTATGTCTTGACCTTGATGTATGGAGAGGCTGAGCCTTCTGCCCAATCCCATTCACTTCTGTGAATTAATATTGTTTAAATTAAAATAAATAAATAAATAAAACATACGTTAATATAAGTCAATACATGTATGATAATGCATAAAATGATAATCCTTGCTCTTTGATAGGTACAAAAGAACACCCTAGCTGTCGCACTACATATTTTCTATATGTTTGTATGAAGATTACCACCACAGCAGCCATCGGGTATAAATTTGGTGCCAGGACATGTCACATGTCTGTTCGGTCACCAAATTTGTACCAAATTTGTACCCGACAGTCCTTAAAAATTCAGTCCCGGTAACTTTGTGCTTCGTATACTAGTATATTGCGTATTCTTTACACGGAATGCCAAGTTTGTCTTTGTCACTCTACACTACAGGCAAATTGCAGATTGTTTAGGCACAATAATTACTATATAATATTATTTTGCGTAACCTTGGCAAATCTTTTTGCGGAAACGTAAAAATGAAATTTTTCAAAATTTGCAGAAATGTAATATGCCCACATTAATATTATAGATATTATGTCAACAAGAATAATTATATTCCAATTATCTTATATCATTTACTGCACTTGTATATTAATAATCCATATCTTTGAACTCTCATCTTTGCTTTCATTTTGATATCTTGTTTTAAATGTTTGAGACAGGACTTAAAAAAAATTTCTTTTAGTAGTTTGAGTCTCCAATAAAACACTTTCCATTGAAGAAACTAAAGAAATCTGAAATGCAACGATCGATGATTGGTAGAATTGAAATTGAAAGTGTTTGTTTATTTATTTCTCTCAGACCATACAATGGTATATGAGGTACATGAACATTTTTACATATCTACAAAATACAAAGTCAAGTAAGGAAGAGTAGTATCAAATGAAAGAGTAGTACTGAAAACAGGCCAATATCTTTTTAACAAACAAAGACAGCTTTATCAGTGAGTCAACATTTGTGGTGGACATAAGATTCTCAAACTTATAAGTATTTACATGACAACAGAATTTTAAATTAATTGCATTGTACAGGAAACAATGAGCAATGAAGTGACGGGTATCATATTTAAACTTCCTCATTGAAGTCAATAATGTCTTACTACTTGCTTATTGTAAATAACTTCCTCATTGAAGTCAATAATTTCTTACTACTTGCTTATTGTAAATAACTTCCTCATTGAAGTCAATAATTTCTTACTACTTGCTTATTGTAAATAACTTCCTCATTGAAGTCAGTAATTTCTTACTAGTTGCTTATTGTAAATAGATTTAAAACACACACAATCATTTCAAATAACTAATTTCAAGTTTAACAAGTTTAAGCTTGTAGTAGCACCAATTTCTTTGAGGCAGTGCTGCAATTTACAAATACCTTCAATTCGTTGCAAGAGTAAATGAGGAATGTATGGTCTTGTGTCACATTTTAATACTGGAAAATAATTGGTTGTGGTGGCGCTTTGAAGTGGGATTTAATTAAATTTTAAAATATCTGACATGGGTCAAAGCAGAAATTCTTATTTATTTTCATGATGATTGGATACAAGTTAGTTCTTTCCTCATTTTACATACACAATAAATACAATGATTGTCAACACAATTAATCGAAACTAATTACGATTACATTGAAAAAATATACATTTTATGTATACAAGATATTTTAAAGACACATACTCTGAGTATAGGGTCCATCAAAGCTCTTAAAGATACAAATGCTTGTTCATTGATTAAAATAAGTGTCGAACAAGTGAATTACATGTTTAATTTTTTTTTTTCAACCATACATGATGAATTCGAATGCACATATTTTGAATTAGAATTAAACTGATTCTCGAATAAATTTTGGACACAGCAGAAAATTTGATTATTTGTATCAGTGGTAATAAAAGATAGTCTGCTGATTAAGTTGAAGGACAGTGTTAAGTCATTTTTGGACGTTCATATTTCTTGCATGCAAAGAAAAAAAAATGATATGTATTGAAAATTTATATGGATGACAAAATTACTACGGTTTTACTTTGATGCTTTACATGTAATCTTTACACTATACCTGTATTTGAACGCCTTTGACTTTTTTCATGGACAATTGATCTTTTCCATAATTTGAATGTATGTATTATGTTCCATGCATGATTTAGTATTTCAGATGTTGAAATCTTTCATAAAATAGATAAACAACTACATATAACTTTATCAGGTAAAAAGGTAGGAGATACATGCATATTTTATGTTAAATTTCTCCGAACATTAACAATGTTATCCTTGTGCTAAACGTCAGAATAGACTTCTCTTGCTGTTTGTTTGTTTGTTTTTGTTTGTTTTTTTGTTTTTTTTTTGTTTGCTGTTTACTTATTAGTATTCATACCATTTCAGATTTATTAATTTTAATTTGTAAATTAATTAAGGCAACATGAATGGTACTGATGATTGCTGCTTATAGAGTGATTCAAAATAAATTTCTCTGCAGAATTTCACAAGCAGTACATGAGTTATAATGTACACATATTTACTGGCTTTGAGGACAATGTCAAGTGGGTGTTTATTGTCCCTTAAGACAGTAACTATTTCCTGAGGTGCAGCCGAGGGAAATCGTTGCTGTCGAGGGGGACAATAAACTTGCTGTTGTCCGAATAATCAGTAAATAGGTGTTTAATTATACTGTAGAAAAAATGAAATAAACCACACGGGCCCGTAGTAACGGTTTCAAAAGTTGGGGGGGTTATTTTACTATAGAAAAAAGACGCTAATGGTGACCTAACAACAAAACTTTATGATAAACGTGATGACTTCAACTTTTCTATCTTCCACTTTCCCTACATATGTTGCAATATACCCTTATCACCTGCACATGGGGTTTATGTCGCCCAGTTGATTCGAAACGCAAGAGCATGCTCTACGTACGATCAAGTTTTAAAACGAGGCAACTGGCTGACTGAAAGTGTCAGAATCTTGATTTTAACAACTTTTATTTAAGGAATAACTGTCTTATTTTTTGGATTCATGATGTGATCAATCGAGTGGCTTGCGTGATAATTTGCATAAACGCCGAAGGCGTTTATGCATAAAATTATCACGCAAGCCACTCGATTGATCATCGTGATGAATCCAAAAAATCTGACAGTTATTCCTTATATTTACATGCTCCTGATTCTGCAAATTCCCGTGCTAATAGCCCCGCTTCTGTCTCTATTTGTCCCGCCCCGCACGTGATTTTTTTTTAACCGCGCCTATCGATGAACCAGTAGATTTATGTAGAAATAAAGTATTTTTACAATTTGCAATTTTATCTCGGACAAAGACATTGGAAATGTTAATATGTGTATTTAAAGTAGATTAAAAAAAATTTAAAATTCATTTTACATTTAACAATCCGGAAGACAAGCCCCTATTGATACAATCTCATAATCAGCAGATACAATCTATCATTATAGGTCAAAATTAATGCTGACTGGCGTTTTTCATACTATAATTGTTAGCCCATTATTTACACACTGAAATTTCTACGGATTTTTCAATTTATCCGATCATGACAAGGAGTACAAGGCGGTTGTGACCGGTCGATAGGGAATGCTCACCCCTCCATGGCACCTGATTCCATCTCTATTTTAGAGATCCGTGTTTGCTCTGATCATGATTTGTATTGTTTGAATGGTCTTAAGCTTGAATATTGTTTGTTATCTCCATATATTTCATTAGAAAAAAAAATAGCAGGTTTATTCATCATATTTTTATAAAGAAAAAAATCTTAGAGATATAATAATAGTTTCTTTTTTTTTTCTAAAATTTCTATTTATTGCTCTGGTGATGTATTTTTATATCCGAAACATGTCATTAAGAATAATTATATCCCAATTATCCTTTCATTTAGAATACTTGGGAATTAACGACCCATTTTCTGAACTACATAATTCTCTGTGATATCTTTGATATTTTGTTTTATCTAGACAAAACATTTTAAAAAGACCCTTTTATTTATTAATAAATTCAGATTTGTTTTCCAATAAAACATTTTCCAGGTAAACCATCTAATAAACATATTTACTATGTAATGGAGGGGGATATGAAAGCCAAAGTGACCAGCAGGATTTTAAATTAAACTACAGGAAACAGTAAGTCAAGAAGGGGCAGGTATCATATTAATTTTTTATTATTTTTCCATAATAGTTACTCCTTGTTTATTATAAATACACTGTAGATTGTAACAATCAAAGATAAATCATTCAAGTTTAACATTATTTCAAGACGGTCATACACTGCAAAGAGAAGTAACTCTTATTTCTTTGTGACAGTGCTACATCTACAGTCATTATTTCCTCTGTGAGATTTAATGATCATACGCCTTCTTGTATGGCTGTGGATTTCCCATTCATTTTCTTGTAATTGATTAATGCCTAAAAATATTGGTTATGGTGTCGCAACTTTAAAAATGACATAGATGAAAGCAAAAATATTTATTTTAATAAAATTAGTTTTATGAAGAAGTACCAGTTTTACGTTATATTTTCAAAACCTGTGTGTATATATTGAAACTCTTTGAGATTTTCCACAGAAAACTGATCATTTCATATATTAAATTAAAGAGTTCTTTTATGTTGTCAATGTTAAACAGTCAATTTATATTTCTACTGTTTAAATTTCTCCATAAAAAATATGTTATACTGTACACCCCTCCCCCCCCCCCCCCCCAATTTATTTCCCAGATCCTAATCTATAACAATATATAAATGCTAACATCTACATGTAGAAAAAAATAAGGCATCTGCCAGGGATGTTATACTGTACGTCAGTTTATTAGGTAAAAGGCAAGAAATACATGCAAATAATGTTACATTTTCTCTGAACATCAACCATACCATATACCCTAGTACTTTTGTAATTATTTTCAACATTCTAACAAGTTTTATTATGCATATAACTTTAAAATTCACATAACTGTAACTATCGAATTTCTGCTTTTAATCTGTATGGTTGAGCAAACGTTGTTATTCCAACAAGGCCTTCAAAGTTCAACACATCAGTCTCTGATACTTTCGAAAAGCGGAACTTTTGAATGAGATTAGAAAACACAATAAACATTTCCGTTCTAGCCAAAGACTCTCCTGGACATATCCTTGGACCTACAAAGACAAAATATCGTTAACTCTTAATTGTATCAATATGTAGACGATTTTTAAATTGTAAGGAAAAGAGAAAAAATGTTACTTTTAAATTGCTGATATCAGCACGCCAGGTTTGTTGGCGCTTGGATTTCCCATTTCGATACTAACCTATTGAGAAAGGAATTAGGTGGTCTTTGTTTGATATTTTTCCAGTTTCTTCATCAATAAATCTCTCTGGACAGAATTCGTGTGGTTGAGAAAAGTTTTCCGGATCTAAATGTGACGATGTGAGGAAACCCATTACTATGGCGTTCTTTGGAATCACGTGACCAGCTATAACAACATCCTCAGTCGCCGTGTGTGGTAGAGATGAGGTCGCTATAAAGTTTAAAAACAATGAACACATTTACATAATATTCGAAGAATTTGACTGTAAGGATAATAATTAATGATTTTCATATATAATTCTTATTCATCTCAAATAAACAGTTTTAGCTTCTTCACATTTATAAAATGACTGTTCAGTAGTATGTGTATGATAATTGCTTTCTTTAAAATATGTTTGAACATACCTATATTTGCTATCCTTTGTACTTCCATAAGTGTGGCTTCAACATAAGGTAACTGTGACTTGTCTGATAAACGAACTTCCCTATCAACACCAACAACCTGTTCACAGATGACAAAGTTCAAATAAATGTGAAAATACTCACCGAAAACCTTAGGCTTATTAAACGGAATTAACTAATTTTACTTAACAGATTTACAATTTCTTTTAATAACTTGGTTTACATATTTATTTATTTACCTTTTTAATTTCTTCGTAACATTTCTCTTGAATTTTGGGATGACTTATCATGTATAGAAAGGCCCAATCTAGAGATGTTCCTGTGGTCTCTGTTCCCGCCGAAAATAACTCTAAGATAACTCGGAACAAATGATTAACTGTAACAAAATATAAATTTTGGATAGCTTAATACTTTTCAACTGTCTATTTTTATCTATATATATTTTTTCTATTGTAATTTAATTTTTTTTTAATTATAGTACTGTACAATAAACACAATTAATAGTATTTTTGATTATGCAATTGAATTTAAATTGGTTTTAATTTTTTTCTTTGGCACATCAAGATTCCATGTCAAAACTGACTTGCCTTTCATTTCGCCATCTTCTTTCTGTGATTGTATATAAAGATCTACGAAATCTCTGATGTTGTTTTCATCATATGTTTTCTCGTGCTCTTCTATTTGATTTGTTATGTAATGGAGTAAGACTTCTTGTGCTTTTTTTCTTTCCTTCTTTGGAGTTCCCTTTGTTCAAAACAAGATACCGTTAACCACAACAAATAAAAAATGTACGTTGTACATTTTGATGATATAATTTTAATTATAGTTTCATAATTATAACGATTTCTTCCAGTAAAGAATACAAAGTAAAGTAAATATAAGTAAGGATTAATACAAGATTCTTTTAAAATCTTAGAACTTAAATAATATTCTTACCATTCCAAACTGCAGAACACTTGGAAGTGATCCTATGATGACCCCAGGCCCTTTAAACAGAGTGTCCAAGGCCTCGATCAATTCCAAAAAATTCTCATCATCGTGAGGATACCTAGAGGATCAAAATTTAACTTTAATACAGCTTATTTTCATTTTCTTTTTAACTATTACGCATTAAATGGCGTAATAAATGAAGCTTTATAGTCTAAGAGTGAAATATATTGAATTTATAGCTTACCTAAATCCAAACACAACATGGTGAATAACGTTGCTAATCGATGTCGTCATCATGCGTTTTACGTCAGAGATGGGTTGTCCTTCCTTGGAAGCGAATATAGCACTCAGAGTTTTTGCCTCGTCTTGGATAACTTCCTCAAGAGATTTCTTCCCAACGCCAAAATCTCGCATGCTCTGCAGAGCAAATCGACGTACTTTCTTCCAGTTCTCTCCATTTGCCCAAACAATGCCTGAAAAAAATGAAGAAATAGACCATACAAATAATATATCTAGGCATATTTTTAAAAGGCTCTAAACAGAGCCGAATATTGAAATTATTTCCCTAACAAGGTAATCATTCAATACACCAAAAGATAAATAAGGAAATCAACAACTACATATTATTGAATTCACATTTACAACTCCTGTCTAGTTTAGATTATATTCAATGTCATGACTTAAGCACGTGGTACCACACCATTTTACGTACAAATATATTTATTTAATACCTTAACATTTATTAAAAACTTGAAGCAAATAGTTTTCATGGACTTTAATCGTATTGTTGAAAACCCCGTACTCTCTTAAAATTCAGTACAGATAGGTTAGCGGTAGGTATTCAATTAAACCTCGGGCCGTCACAGCCATGGTTCTAATAAATAGACCATGTAAATGACCCATTGACCGGGTTAATAACGTTTTGGTTTAAATTTGCTAAATACGCACTATCTAATTCTTCATTTTTTCACAAAGAAAATAAAATAAAACGAGAGATATTACGTGTATTTCATTGTGGGATTTGTGCAGAGTAATACTTTACTGTTTTGGTTGTGTTTTTTCCTTGTTTCTAGTTAAAGTTTGCCAAACACGCCTGTGTAAGTTAGAAATACATTCATATTATTAAATTTTCTCAGAGGGGACTGTTTATATCCTTGTACAAGACAAATTAACAGTATTTAGGTCTCTGCTTTGAATCAGGAGTTAATGAATGTAAATTAACATGGAAGCATATTTCTTTCTTTGTTCCAAATTATCAAATTTCTGTCAAATTAACTGAAAGCTGTTGACAATTATGTAGCTATTTAATTGTAAAATACATGTATTTACTTTCTAAAAAGTAAACTATGACAAACACCTGAAATGTCATCGAACAGTGAATACATGACTTGGATATTTACACGGTTATAATTCAAATGATTATTTTGCATTAATTTTTATAAAAAAATTTAAAGACTATATACAGTGCTTGACTTTAATAGTTTAATAGATATTCCAATATACATGAAATAACAAGGCAAGAGATTGTGATCACAGCATCGTAAACTTTCTAGACGTTTTTAAATAGTAAACGTAACTTGCAAACTTATGTTTTCTGAATAGCTGTTATTAAACTCTTTTTGGTATGAATCTTTTTATGCAAGCTGGGGTAAAAAATCTATTAAAAACGTTTAAAAAGTTGAGAAATTTACATGTACCTATAAAATTTAATGTCTTACCAAAACCACTATTTGTCCTTCTCTGTATCTCGGGTAACCAGTTTGGACGATCGCTGAATTGGGCTGCATGTTTAACAAAAGCATCATGTATATTGTCATACCCACTGATGACCACCATCAAATACGGACCAACATACAGACGAAACACGTCACCGTACTTCTTCCGCAGAGCCAGTAATCCCACATGTCGTTTTTTACCCATACGGAGAAACTGAGGAAGATTTCCAATGAAAGGAAGCGCAAATGGTCCGGGTATAGATGTAGCCGGTCTACCCATCACGAAGGCTAGAGCCAAGAACACAAGGGTGAAAACCAAGATTGTGGTCAGATCTAGAAAACTTAAGACGGAAACAGGGGACAATTTGACCCAAGAAGCTGGATCAATTGTGGATCCCAAAACTTGATTATAAGGCATTCTGTTGTCTTTGAATATTTCGCTGTGAATGGTTCAGAGATCGTTACTCTGTTTCTTTTAAATACATCCCAGCGTCATGAATTTATAAGCCAGAATCAGAAAGTAGACCGCTTGTGTTCAAGGTGAGACATTCGTTCCGGTTCAGGTGCTATATCCTGTGATCCAGGTGATAGTGAAAAATGGGCTTTGTCAGGCGTATATCGTCGTATAAAGTTAGTAAACAAGGAAAGAATATGCATTAAACGTCAATATACCTTATCGTATGATTAATTCAGCGATGTAAATATAACGATCAATGAGCGGGGTCTGTATTTTGACTATTTCTGGTCGGTCACAAACTAGGCTTATGTGACGTAGTGCGTTACATTTCCTGAACTTTTTGCTCCGATTTGGAGACGTATTTACTACCGACTGGGGAGTTCAACAATCTATATATGACATGAGCATATACTAATATGATGAAATATGTTTACTACTATTTCAAAATTTTGCTGAATTTTAAAATTTTTCCTATTCTTTTTCTGATATACAAAGAAATTACTTTATTACAATCCATCTTCTTCTTAATTTCATATAATATAAAAAATATCTCACGAAAAACTAAAATTGTACTGGTTCAAACTAAAAAATGGTTTACAGAGGGAACAATTTTGATTAATGGACGCTTTATAAATTTTCTGTAATAATTATTTCAGAAAAAAGCTGTGTAAATGAATGCAAGAAACGATGACTGTCTTTTCTGCTAGTAAAAATGTAGGAGGAGTAGCATTTTGAAAGAATTAAACAGGTGATTCTGTTATAAACCCTCGCAACACCATTGAACAGAGTTGAATGTTCGGAGGAATTTTCCACACAAACGTCCCGAACGCGGCAAAGTTTCTGATGCAATCAATAGTTTTCATATGAGATTTTATGATAATCTAGTTATGAGATACGAGATTTTAGTGACAGTGATAATACTTTATTTTCATAAAACTGTTTTGTCTGTTTGTCGATAAACGTCCCTTCGAGGATTTTTCAGTCATACTGAGACGCCACCACTTGCCGGTGGAGGGCTGCAAAGGACTGGGTAGGTGAAGCCCACTTAGCGGCCCTGTCTCTAAATTTTATAAAGATTTTTTACAAACATACCTACGATGTGTCCTTTTAAAATCATTTTATTTTTTTTTTTATTAAATTACCACTATTCGTTTTTCCGTCAGAGGTCAAAAATGGAGAGTTTTCTTTAAAAATTACAACTGCTGAAGTGATAACATCATCACCCGATACTGATTTTAACGTTACGTAAATTGAAATCTGTAAATTCTCTGAACCGAAAACTATTTACTTTAACCTGCCTTATGTTCCAGAAAACAATTTTAAACTTTTATTTCAGTTTATCGTATCTTTGATAGCTGGAACGAGTGTAATACTTAGTAGGGATATAATTTTCTTACAAAACGATTTCATCACACAGGTAAATCCTTACAGACGACACAAGGTAGGTACTTCTTTTAAAATTGTGCCTGTATCAAAATTATGATTTTTTAATGCAAGAAAATCCAAATAATTTTCCTCAACCATTATTCGCATTGTCTTTGAAGTTACATTAAAGTTTTTAAGATACATGAATCAATTAAGAAAAAAACTCCCAACTTTCAAAAAAAATTATTGAACGTCAGGCCCATATTAAGGTTTCAAAATTGGATTTTTGGCAATGAAAAGGCCTTCAACACCACTTCCTCCTTTTCCATTCCAATAAACGGTAGCGCTGTTATTTTTGTATCTTCTATTTTTAGGCCTGCACTCGGCTCTAATTTGAGCAGTGAGGGATCTTTTTCGTGCCAGTACCTACTGCGACACAGTACCTCAGTTTATAAAACTGCAATCAGTAGTAGAGAACAATAAATTATGACAATACACATTGCATGGTATAAGTACATGTAGTTAACCAAGAGAGCAAACTCATCGACAAACTTACAAATCAACTGTTTCTTGTTTGTAATAAACATATTATATTTTCAAATCTGTATACAGTCGGATTCACAATATAATAATTAGGTAGATATTTTGTCCTTGCTTGTTTTAGAATTTGAATAAATAATGAAACTCATCACCAGTTTGTTAAAAGACGATGAATTTTTTAAAATTTAATTTTGAATTTATCTTTAAATATTATTTGTCGAACCCATCATGTAGTTCTGCAAGTGGAAAAACGGTAATTTATATTCACAATAAGACTAATAACTTATAATTCAGTTGTATAATTGATAATGATTTTTGACACACAGCTGTAGTGTACGAAGGTTATTATTCCTAGATTTTTGCCCGGTGTTTTTGCATTCCTAGCCAAAGCCACAATAAACAACAACGACGTTGTTTACCACGACATGCCGTACAAATAATGCGTAAACAACACATCACCCCACTATCAGCTGGCCTTTAAACATTTCTCTTTATAAATAAAAGAAACCTCCACAATGTAATTAAAATGTTATTTTTTAGTATGGAGAATTTTTTTAATGTATGAAGAGAAATGTTTAAAACGCCAGGTACCTGTGGAAAAAAATGCACTAGCAGCATTCCCTTTTCAATAGATTTCGAAATTTGTTATCGAAATAAACTAGTAAATTAAATTCATTTAAAAAATCTCAAGACCCTATGGTGTCATATCTGGTAAAAAATCATCGGTCGCATGGCTTTTAACTTGCAGAAAAGTTGGTATCCCCTGCTAGTTAAATGTCTAGAAATGTACGGTGTCAACATTAACTTCCTTATTTCACCCGAGTCCATGTATTACATGATGAATTTCAAGAATATTCGGTATATTTTTTCATAAATATTCTCTCCAGGCAATGAACGGTAAATTGTAATCTTCTCCCCTCCCCTAACCTATCTAGAGCACAGGAATTTGGGTTTCTCTTCTTACTCGTGATGAAACTTTTAAAACAACATTTTCAGTTTTCCAATATTATTACAGAAACATCATATTGAATTATTCAAATAAGATCTTTCATTTTTATTGTAGTCGATAAACAAAAAAAATCGTTTAGTTTATTTCTCGATACCATTATATTTGCACACGTACGTATTTCTTCTATATGTATATCTCTAATTTTTTTTTTTTAAAAAGATGTACACATTAAAATATAAATGTACACTAATTTGCCGAATTCATAATGTACATGTAGAAGGATAATCTTTTGTATGTAAATACATATATATATGTGGACAATTTCTTTTAAGCGGCAAATGTCTCCTAAATTTTACATACATTTGTATATAGATAAATACGAAGAATCTAGGATGTTCTTAATTAGAAGGCTAACTTAAGATTTTCCTAAGATCAGGGTTGGCCGGGAAATACCAGTGGCGGGAATTACCGGTGGTAAATACCGGTATTTCCCGTCCTGGTAAATACTACAAATTCTCTCTAAACTGGAAAATACTGGGAAATACAAATTTTAGATTTTATTTCTTTAATTCATTTCATCTTATACAAAATTCAGAAATAAAATGAACATAAAAAAACAGAAGATGAATGAAATTGAATGTCTCAAACTGCAATTTAACATACTCAGTATATACATGTATGTATCACTATTCCAGCTAGGTCCCCTACTCATATGCTTTCTGTAGCAAAACATGTGCCCCTTAAATTCTATTTTATGACTAAAACTGAAAAGTTTTCTGGTTCAATTTTCTTTTCAGTTTTCTAAAATTATTAAGTTTATTAATCAAAATAAATCCATGAACATAATAAACTTGTTTTAATCCTTCTATAAACACTGTAGTTAATACAATCAATTATGTTGTTTGAACTAATTGATTCTGGACAGTTTTGTGATCCTGATTTGAGAGATAATTACCTGAGTAGATTACTGAAAGGCTTCTTCTTAGGTTTGAAATTTACAGTTTACACTTTATTTATACTTTAGTTACATAAAAAAACCAAATGGGATCTTTAGGTTCATTTCATGGACCTTTATAGACTACATCTGACTCAAGCATGAAACAATCGACACTCATGACTGGTATATGAGTACATTGTATAATGTGTTATGATTATTTAAAATGAAGTACTAGGAAACCAGAAATTTTCAAATCGGGGACAGTGACCCCAGGTTGATATCTCAGCCAATAAGGTGTACTACATGTCTATATACCCAAGCAAATAAGATTAAAGTTAAAAATATGCAGCTATTTCTTATTTCCCAGTATTTCCCGGGAAATACCAGTAATTCCCAGAATTACCAGTATTTCCCACTGTCCTGGGAAATATGAGTATTTCCCGCTTTTTTGCCAACCCTGCCTAAGATACGTTGAGCTGCAACTTAGGACGTTCCTAACTTTCTTCCTAAGTCATATCTTAGCCAGGTAATAGGAGCATTCTTATGTCATATTTAAGGCAAGTGTTTTGCCCGCAGAAGTAATATTTTACCACTTGTTTGAAATCGTCTGTAAGAAAACCGAGGGACAGGAAAAGTCAAGGTGAAAGGTGCAAAAATGAAGACGGAAGTAATAAAGAAAGCATGCTCATCAGGAGCAATTCAGTAAACATCAAATACATGAATGCAGAACAATACAGCAGACAAAGATTTGATATGAACCCCCCACCCCCACCCCGATAAAAAAATGGGCACTGCACATAAAAATAGGCACTGCACATTAAAAGCGCAGAAGACCTAAAACAATAGGAGTGTTTATTATATGAAAACATTTAAAGATGTATTATTTGTATATCATGTGAAAAAAAAAACGACAAAAACAAACAAATTTTCAGAAAATTTATTCGCTTTGCAAAGTTAGCAATATATTGTAAATGAAATTACCGATACCTCTGCTTTATCTATTATGCTTTTTGATGTAAAAATAATGTACGTGTTATGAAAATAATATCATGCACACAGCTATCATCATCATTTACTGATGCCTTAGTTCCACTTTAAGTCTGTATGGCGCTGCACACGTTGTAACACCTGTTGTTCCCTCATAATTTAATACGTCATCATCAGATACTTTGGAAAAGCGAAACTTTTGAATGAGATTACAAAACACGAGAAACATTTCTGTTTTTGCAAGCGATTCTCCAGGACATGCTCTAGGTCCTAAAAAAATAAATACTTTTTTATAATAAGAAGTCCAAGGGCCTTAACGATCACCTGCGTATAATACATCCTTGTAAAGGATCCATGGAATGTCAATTTAATAATTATTAATAAAACAAAATAAACTGAGAGATAAAGAATATTGCTCAAAAACAGTAAAAATGGGACGATCAAAATATTTAGTCTGGTAATGAGTAACAATCAGAAAGTAGATTTATTTATATGATTTACTTGCCTGTATGTGCCAGTGCTAACTACAGCCAGTATTCACATAACAAACTAAGCACAATCTCCTTACCATTGGAATATATTGTTTTTTTTGATCTTGAATAACATTTAATGTACAAATACATGGTACTTTTTGTCTCATTATTTACAAGTCTTTCTGACAATTAAAAACTATAAAATATACATGAAATTCTTGTATAATTCTTTTATTCATTTTATCTATCAGCTTCATTGCTAGTGATCAGTTAGATAGGTGAATAACAAAAAGGGATTACTTCTCTTAAAGCAGAGTAAAAATTTTCATACATGATCATAATAGAGCACTACTCAAATTCCATACTCCCGACCCAGCTAGGGGTCAAGAATTTCACAATTTTGGAAGAGGCATCCTTGCTCATCATGACTATGCACTTGGATACCCAGGAGCAGAATAGATTTTCAAAGAATTAATGCATTTTCACTATATCATCAATAAAGCCCCACCTTAACTCCAGAACCCATGACCCAGGGGCCATGGATTTTACAATTTTGGAAAGGCACCATTCTAATCATATACTTACTCTTTCTGCTAAATACTCAGTTGCAGAGAAAAAAGATTTTCAAAGAATTAATAATGCATTTTCACTGTATGATAAATAGAGCTCTGCCCTAACTCCAGAACTCCTGACCAAGGGGCCGTGAATTACACAATTCTGGAAGAACACACTTGCTCATCATAGCCATGTACATGTACTTAGTTTGAAGAAGATTGTCAAAGAATTAATGCATTTTCATTGTATACTACATGTATATGATAAATAGAGCTCTGCTTTAACTCAAGATACCCTGACCCAGGGGCCACGAATTTCACATTTTGGAAGAGCCACCCTTGCTCATTATATATATATATATATATATATATATATATATATATATATATATATATATATATATATATATATATATGAACTTAGTTTGTCTGCTAAATATACAGGGGAAGAGAAGAAGACTTTCAACTATTAAACTATTTATGCTTTTTCACTATATGATCTACAGAGCCCCAACCTAATACCAGAAAAAATTTAGGTAGAGGACTCAATGCTTATTATAACACAGAAATGCCAACAGTTTGACTGCTTCATGTCCAGGAGTAAAGACGATTTTTTGAAGAATGCATTAATTTTGATGGTGTTGGCCTCATCTCTCAGGTCCCAGGGGGACAGAGACCATAAAATTCACCATTTCTGTTCCCTTTTGCCCATAGATGCTATATACCAAAATTGGTTGAAATTGGTTCAGCGGTTCTAGAGAAGAAACTGAAAATGTTCAAACGTTAATGCATGACGACGGACAAAACACAGATAGTAATCCAGGTGACATAAAAAGTTAAAGACGTTTGCTCTTACATAAAAAGAATCGAGACAATATTGTTTGTATACTCTTACCTATTGAAAATGGAATGAGTCGGTCTTGATACTTAACCGTCCCAGTGGCATCATCAATAAATCTTTCTGGTCGGAACTGACGTGGTTCAGGAAAGTGTTTTGGGTCTAAATGTGATGTTGTTAAGAATCCCAATACTATGGCGTTCTGTGGTATTGTATGACCATTTATTTGTATGTCTTGTGTGGCCATGTGTGGTAATGACATGCTGGCTAAGAAAATTAAGGGAAATAAGCCATAAATTCAAATAGTTATTATTTAGTTAGTATGAAAAACGTTAGTCAGCAATTGACTAAATACTAAATATCAACAGTCTCGTTTGAAGTCATCAGTTCGCAAGTTTTATGGTCGATACAATGACCTTGTCAGCAAATATAACCTATCATTAAGCTAAATGCTGACTGACATTTTTCATACTAATTGTTAGGCCATTATTTACACACTGAATTGTCTACGGATTTTCCCGTTTTTTTCCCGATCATGACAAGGAGCACAGGGCGGGTTTGACCAGTAGGAAGGAGATGCTCAATCCTCTATGGCGCCTGATCCCACCTCTGTTTTTGGAGGTCCGTGTTTGCTCTGTACCTGATTTGTATTGTCTAAATGGACTTAAAGCTTGAATATTGTTCGTTATATCCATATTTCATGATAAATTGCACTTGTTGACAAGGTCATTGCATCGACTATAGAACTTGCAAAATGACGACTTTAAACGAGACAGTTGATATTCTTGTTTCATTAACTTGTTTGTCAATAGCTTGCTTCGTTTAAGAAATTGTTTGGAGGTGAAGCATGCTCTTGCGTATTGTATCAACTGAGAGACATAAACCCCATATGCAGGTGATAAGGGTATATTGATACACAAGTAAGGGAAGTTGACGATTGAAAAGTTGAAGCCATCATGTAAAGTTTTTCCAGCATATGGACGCTTCAACCACATTTTAATTGATATCAAATAATTTTTTATTTATTTTCAAAGAGAATATCATTTTAGTAAAGTTTCATCAGTTCCAAACAAGTTTTAGTCAAACTGGATACATACAACTTGAAACAAACACGTATGACAGGATTTTTTCAAAGGCTTCAGACATTCACAATGTAAAGTCAAGAGCAAGAACGAGTTGTTATTTCCACATATTATCCGAGTATGACGTATAATTTGATTTCGAATGTGTACTACGTTATTACGTTATTGAACGGCAAACAACTGAAAGTTACGAATAATAATGGATCTCTTTTCAAAGTGGCGGCCATTTTCGTAATGTCTTTGAAATTCTTACCGTGACAATATACTACATGTAGTTGATCTCAAAGGTTCTTGTCAAAGCAGAAAAAATGATCGAACCTAGTTTGGAAGTCCAAATATTTACGTATTTTGAGATTTAATGGAAAGAGTGTTGTCCACGGTACCGTGGGATAGACTACAGGGAGCACAGTAGCATGTACAATACAAAAACAAGGCTTATACTTATTGGGGAACAATATAACATTACTGTTATTTCATTTTTCTTTAAAAATATTTTTTAATGCGTAACGAATTGATTATCATGATAAAACGAATATTAAAAAACGAAAGTGAGATTGACCTCTTTTTAAAGTTCATACATGTATATCTTGTACAAAAACTCACCGATATTTGATATTCTTTGAACCTCCAAAAGTGTACTCTCTATGTAAGGCATTGAACATCTGTCTGATAAACGAACCTCTCGACCCAAGCCAACAACCTGCGGAAACATAGCATATTATAACAGTTAATGGATCTCATCAAATGTTTTGTTTTTGTTAAAAAATCAGAGGTAATATGTTTTGATAACTGATAACCTATCTATTATGATGAGATGTCTATATATGGGCTTTAATGGCAACCTGAGTACTATGCTAAACCTTTTTCTAGGATCGAGCATATATATATAATCACCATCTCTATCTATCACCAGCTTCTCATGATTAACTGTTGCAAACTTAATTGTGGCCTAGAAGAACACTAGATCGCTCTCTCCTTAATATCTTGATCATGACCAAAAAAAAAAAATAAGAAATCCTTGAGCAGATTTATGAATACAAAGTATGGTCAAGAATATGCTTTTTATCAAGCATGGTCTTTTAATGCCATCAAACCATCGAAACCAAGTTCATCAAGAGAGCAATCAATCCATACTGAAGATTCGAATATCACAACCCAAAAGATACATATAAATCACGGTTTCAGAGAAAGAGAGAGAAACCCATTAATCGTGGACTAAAATGCAATATTAATTCAAGCGAAGTAATCGCCACGTCAGTCTTTGGCGCAGATTTAAACATCTTCATGTCATTGCAGGGAAACCAGAGTTCTATTTTAGGTAACCGAATGATTCAAAGTATTTTCAATATTTGTTTCACTTAACCCAACCAAGATCCAGAGTACTTAGAGTCTAGAAACTCTCATTGCAATTAGCTTAAATAAACAAACAGTCTATCTACAATGTTCTAGGGTTAGAGAAAAATACTGTTTAAAGATTAAAGAATACTTTTACAGTCTTAGTCCAAACAATGGGCATGTTCAAATGGGAAATGCTTTACTTAGACTGGAGAGGGACATTAACTTTTACAATTATTACCCTATGTGCCTAAGTTGCTGAAACTTGGTCCAGGAGATTTAGAGAGGTTCAAATGCACGATGCAAATCACACAACGAAAACGGATGGAAATAGGTCACCACATAGACTTAGGCGTCTTAGAAATGCAAATGATTGTTTTTTTTTGTGTTTAATGATTGTGTTTAAAGCGCTTGTAATCTAACCTGTGCACTTCGATGACAGAGCGAAGGCCTGCCATTACGTTATTAAAAATTTTTAATAAAATATGCTTCCTCAGTTTGTAAATGATCTTTTTGTTGTTTTTTTTTTTGGCATTTTGTTCCGTACCTTTTCTATTTCTTTAAAACATTTCTGCTGAATTTCAGGATAACCTATCATATACAGTAAGGTCCAGTCTAGAGAGGTTCCAGTTGTCTCTGTACCAGCGCTAAACAAATCCAAAATCACTCGGAACAAATGATGAAAAGTTCCTTAAACATGCAAAAGAAAACTTAGAAATTGCACAAAAATATCAATCGCATCAGCTTGGGCCTTTCCGGCAAGATCGGAAAAAGACCTCGAATGTATTTACATCACCGGATGTTAAAATTTTATACAAAATGGAGTCACTTCCTATTTATTAAAGTTTTGAATTAATTTTGATTTTACCTGCTGAAGTATATTTTAATATCTTTACATTCAAAGGTCAGATCCAGACTACACAGATAAGAGGTCCTCCTACATATATATCAACGTTCATGAAAAGGGGGTTGTCATGGATGCTTTCGTAATACATTCGAGGATGTTTTTTAGCTTGTCGGAACGGCCTGAAAAGTTGCGATTGGCCAAACTATGTTATGAGTTTTACAAACAGCTGTACAAGTGTACTTCACTTCTGCAGAAAAAAAAGTTATGAACTTTTGTTTTTATTTTTGCATTTGTGCAGAATACATTTAACGAGGCCGAGTCTAATTCCAGGGTGCATGACTTTGCGCAGCTTTTAAGTTTCATGCAGTCCTATCTGCAACATAACACCTATCCAAGTATTGTAATTGTAACACAAAATGAACATTATCTGTAACGTTTATGGGTCTTAAAATGTGATTTAAAGAAATGTTTAGGAATAAATGCTGAAATGGCTTTCACGACGTCACTGTTTTCCGGTTCTGTAAGCAATGCATGATGCTGAAGAATGACGCTAGACTCGCTTGAGTATTCAAGACGTCCATGGACATTTTATTAAACACTGTTGACAGAACATCAAAAGAAACATACCAGCATTCTAAACGTTGCTATTTTTTACCAAAATAATTCATCTGCACCGATATATACAAAATATATGCAGCAATATGGCAAATTTATAGGTATTGGGCATTGGGAAAAAATAAACTTCGTAATAATTCCTAGACCAAACCAGATGGTCAACTTTTTTTGAAATTTCACAATTTGGTGACTTTTTACAATAACTTTCATGTATTTGACTGAAAACTAAATCCCTAAGGCAGAAATACAAAAATTTGAGGAAAATGTGATAATATGGCACTTTTCCAACAAATTCCATAGGGTCCAATAGTAAAATTTGACAACTTTTAAGATGGCCCTCTCAGAAATCAGGTTGGTAAACATTTAATATTTTTATCTTAAAATAATTAATATAATAGTAAAAATTCATTCAAGAAAATTTATCAAAATATCTAGGTAGAAATAATTAGACTCGGCCTCGTTAAAAAAGAATGACCTCGTGCTGCAATCGAATTCTCCCTAATCAGACAGATATTCCTTCCCAACAGCCCCTTATTTATGACAAGACAACACATGACTGACGCACGAAAGCCAATAGCTTCCACGTCGGTCTATCGGGTTACAGGCGGGTTTTCCTTTTTAGGATTATTATAAAGGAAATAATTATAAATGTAAAAATATAATGTTCAAATACCTTTTCCCTTTATTTCCCCTTCAGCCCGCTGGGTTTGTATGTACAGATCAACGAAATCCCTGATGTTATTTTCATCATATGTTTTTTCATGCTCAGCTATCTGGCCTGCTATGTAGTTTTCTAAGAGTTCAAGGCCCTTTCTACTTCTCTGAACACTGGATTTCTGTATTAATTTACGAATAATAGAGTAAGTACAAACTCGAGATAAAAAAATGCATAAAACAATATAATTTTTATCCAGTTGCTTTATTAAATGCATGTAATATTTTAATTGTCAGATCTTGTCTAAAATTTTAGAAAACATATCAAAGTTTCCTTATGTCATAGAATCAAATCCTTTGAAAAACATTAATATGTTAATATTTCTATTTTATTTAGTAATATATCCGCTGTCTCACCAATTTTCCAAACTGGCACCATTCTGGAAGAGAAGCTAATAGCGGCCCTGGACCTTGAAATACCTCGTCAAGTAACTTGATCACTTTCAAAAAGGTTTTGTCATCATGTGGGTATCTGGAAACCAAACAATATTTTTGCATGATAATTATATTCTTGTTAAGTGAAGCATTCATATTTTACTATGAGAGAATTAATTTATATGAAGTATTAGAAAACAGTACTACAGAATATGTTAAACTCACCGGAAACCAAACGTGATGTAGTGTATGACATTACTTATTGAGGTTGTCATCATGTTTTTTACATCGCTAATTGGTTGGCCTTCTCTGGATGCAAATTCGTCGCCTAGCAACCTTGCTTCATCTAGTATTATTTCTTCCAGTGATTTTTTACCCACGCCAAAATCTCTCATAGTCTGCAGGGCAAAGCGCCGAACTTTTTTCCAATGATCCCCATTACCCCAGGCTATTCCTGTAATAGTACAATGCTAGTTTTGAGGATGACCTCTTCAAACAAACCCAAATTTACAGGCTTTTAGCTGCCATTGAGTTGTTCAGAAAATACATGAAAATACATGTAAATTGAAATGATGTACATGTAAAAGTATAAATTACATTTTTTTTTTACATGTACGTAGATGTCTTTGTTTTCTTGCTATAAAGAAATGTGTTTATTCACCAATCAAGGGTCCTCATGAGGCATTTACAATTATATCAGTGTGTTCAAATTTGAGCATCTTAAAAATATAAATGAAGTCTACAATGGAGTTATAAATAGATGTACAATACCACATTTATGATATTTGTGAATATGTAAAATATTTAACATTTCCACAATTATCTGAAACTGGTTCAAAAGTATTGAAGAAGTACAAAACCACATGAAGATATAGATAATAATAGCAGCATACTATTGTATAATGTTAAAAATTAGGTGGCTTAAATACAGAGGGTACCAAGGGACGATGCCTTTGCACAGACAATCTGACTTGCAAACCTGTACTGTAAGTATTTAAGACACTCATTCAACATACATTTTACAGTGATAGGAAAAGTGAAAAAAAAAAGTACACTACGAATAATTAATACTTTACACAAAATAAACCTTTATGAAATGAGTTACAAATATTTTATATTCCAGTTTTCAAAGTCATTTTAATAAAGAGATATATTATGTCATGAACTGTTGCATGTAATACATGCAATCAGAAAACTATTTAACAAATTCTACTAAAACGAAACACCTATCAACGTTTTGTAATAATATATGTATATAGTATAAGAGGGATTAAAGTTCTGCATTTGTCATTGACAAAAGACGTTGCAATAACTTGTTGATACATCTACCTACAGCATTATGCCAACGCCTATATGTATAACGATAAATATCTGAATGAGGTTTGTTCGAAATAGGATATCCGATTGACATATTGACACTGTTACATGTTTGCTGGAAAGGGTACATCATATTTGTGATACATGAAATTCAGTTAACACCGTTTATGTGACATCTAATTTTACTTAGTGTCAATACAAGCTGAAAAACATAAAATGCAAATCATGTAACACGTACAACACATATCATAATCAGTTTAATTATTAATTAACAGGACAAAAACAACATTTACTTTAACATAATCGCAGAGTTTCGATGTCAACTTAAAATCGCAATAGTACATGTCTATATTAGTAAGCATCAACGCAGCCAATAGAGTTTGTCTCAAACCAGCGTTGGTGAAATTAAAAGGTAATTTAAAAGGAAATAAAAAGTTCTTTGATTGGCCGCGTGGAAGATTAATTTTTTCTGTACTTTAGTAGATATAGGGATATTTCTTAGAGTACAAAGACACACCTCTGATCGGATTAACCTACTTAATACAGGCTTCAACCGATATTGGTAGAATGCATTGTTATCAAGCTTACTGTTTAGGATAGGCCGATGTTATATCTCTTGTGTGTTTCTGCTAAGCTCTCAAACAATAAACAGATATTGTTGTGACAGTTATACATAAAGATGCAAAAGCTAACATTCAACATCATACACGTGCACCACGCAAAAATGTATGAATGAAGAACACACCCTCTATGCAAATCTTACCATATCCATATTTTTCTGCTCTCTTTTTGATCGCTGGTAGCCAATTTGGACGGTGACTAAAACTTGCTCCTTGTCTGACAAATGCCTCATGAATATTCTCATAACCACTGATAAAAACTAGCAGAAATGGTCCAATATACAGGCGAAAAACACCCCCGTACTTCCTACTCAGCTTCAACAATTCTATATGTTTTCGTGGTCCCATTCCAACGAACTGGGGGAGGTTTCCAACAAGAGGTAGAGCAAAAGGTCCTGGAATGCTTGTTCTCTGTTTTGACATAAAATAAAGTGAGACCAGAAACACAGCTAAAAAAATGAAGAAAGTAGTCAAATCCACGTGGGTAAAGAAAGAAAAAGACATTTTCACAAAATCCACGTGGAATTCACTGTGAAATGTTGTTTTCTTTTGACAGCGGAAAAATTAAATCGCCAGGAACAGATATGTCGTCTGCCATATCGCTAACAATGTCACCGTTTTATATCGAGGTGAAAAACCAGGCCACACTGATATCCTTATATTATGCCAAGTCTTAAATGACAAGGTTGCATTTATTGGTTATTACAGTTTGCGCAGTTCTTTTGCTGAATATTTTATGTAAGGTCGGTATATAGGTAGGTCAGACAAACATAAAAAAGAATTGAATTAATTGTAATGGAATATAGTCAGCAATTGAAATATAAGGTGCAAGCAGAGATAAGTCTATTAATGATATCTCAGAACAATAGGAGACAGATCCGGAAGTATGCCATCATGTATAAATACCGGTAATTTTAGGTCATTGACAAGGTCGGTAACTGGGACACATTTCCCGTAAACTCAGACAAATCGGATCATTGACACTTGCAATTAATAGGCGTACTACAAAATGCCGATGTTTCGTCACACCTATTCGGAGATTTAATGTTTTTCCCTCTGTAAAGACCTGTACATACGGTAAACTTGCTTTATGTCATGGAACTTAAGTTCTAGCCTAACCGTGTGCACACCCTTAATACACGTTTTTTCGAGCCTTGTAAGTCTGAATTACGAATAGAGCACTGCTCTATGTGGTATGGGATACAAGACGAAACTTCTAATACTAGTATTCATTAATTACCTAAATACTAGTAATACGATTTGAAGTATCTCTACCTTTCAGTATGTTATATTGTAATTTTAATAATAATTATTATTCTTTTAATGAGAAATTCAAAAATGATTTTTCTCATATAATTCTTTTTTCAAAAGCTTACTATTATAGGCAAGAGTTAACTAATAAAACACTGATATAAAAACAAAAATGACAAGAAATGAGTCTTAGATTTTTTTTTTAAGTTTTGAACAAAAAATAAGCATTGAAAACTGGGAAAACTTCATTTCTTGAGAACGGATGGACAACATTCCATAGTAATAAAATTTGCTAAAATATGTTAACAATATGAAGTATATATATATATATATATATATATATATATATATATATATATATATATATATATATATATATATATATATATATATATATATACTATATAAGTACATATATGGTATATATGAAAATATATACATATATATATTCATATATATGAAGTATATATATATATATACTAGATGAAATCCCGCGCAAGCGCGGGGAATTGAATTTATAACACTACCGACAGAAAATATATTGTAGTTTCTACTGACAGCCTACAGACTTATAGCAGGAAGAAATACTTTGTTGAAAATCACACAGGAAGTAAATGTACGTCTCCGCCCCCTTTTTGTAAAAACTTGAAAAATAATAATTTCATTTAATTGACGTTTATTGTAAAACCTGTTATATAATGTTATGGATATTGTACTTCAGATGCTCTTATTTCATTTCCGCTAAGGATAAAAGGAGCGAATACACATGTATGCACATTTTACTGATAAATTGATTTGGAGGGGGGGGGGGGTTAAAAATTCACAGGTACTTGGGTCTTGGTTTATAAATATGTATGTACCTTATTGATATGTAAAAATGTTCTTTACCTTTTTTTTTTACATATCAGTAAGGTACCCGGTACATACATATTTATATACCAAGACCTAAGTACTTGTGTAAAAATTAGCTGCTTAACGCCCTATGAATAGGCCGAGAATTTGATACAAAAGACTGTATTCAGAAAAAAACTGGAATCTATTGATTTAATAAAGCACAAAATCTTACAGCTTTAATTATATTTGAACAATATCTTATTTATTAATTTTCTCTTTTCATGTAAGCAAGTTTATTACGAAGTACAAATTGTACTTCGGGTTCGTTGCCACGATGCTCTCAGTAAAGAAAATACAAATTTTACCGATAAATTTATTAGAAAAACCTACTACAGATATGCAATAGTCTTTCGATATATAAATATATTCACAACTTATAGTGTTATCAATGATTTACCATTATTTCAATGACCATTCACACAAAAGCTTTTTTTTTTTTAATTTTCATGCAGCTATAATCGCCTCGTTTTTCTTTTTAACTTCGGGCTCGATGCTATCTGAGGTTCTAGAAGCTTCCGTCAATATTAAGATCGGCGAATGACGAAAATAATTTGCACATTTCCCTTTTTAATTGGTTATCACAACTTATTTCTTTCATATCATTTAAATCAAGTTTTGGTTGAATAATAAAGTGATGACGTTTTATGAAATAAATAAACAATTGCTTGTTGTCAGTTTCATTAAAAACTGCCAGTAACTTAGATCCGCCAACCGGAAACGCCACCGTACTCATGTTTTTGCTATTTCATGGCTGCTTATAGAAAATAAAAGTAGACTTTTCATTTAATGTACGATACTTACTATGCGAGTGAAATCTAAATATAGTTTACGGACATCATCTTGTATCTAGTGTATTGTTAGAGGAGTAAGTAAGAACTCTGATGCATCCGTTTCGGAGTTTATTTGCAAAATCTATTAATTTATAAGTATATATATATATATATATATATATATATATATATATATATATATATATATATATATATATATATATATATATATATATATATTCAGATGCATTTAAACATTTCTGAATTAAAAGATCCGAATAGAAAAAGAAGAGTTACATGTGGCTTGGGGTAAAAAGCTGAGTGGAGTGGAGTCTTGAGGAGTCATGGAGTGGAGTCTGTGTTATAACAATACAGAAAGTTTGAGAACAAAACAATTTCTCTTGCATACAATCTCTCCCCTGCAATGTCATTTTGGATTTGTGTAACAAGAATGATACAAGGAACAAAAGAAATCAGTGCGACCAAAAAACTTTTGACCTTTAAATGTCGAACAGAGAATCACCTAGAAATGTTTTTAGAGCAAAGACTAAGTAATACATTAACAACATCAAAACTAAGCTCAGAAATATGACCCTGCTCGCCTATCCAAAACAGACAAATCTATTAAGAGGTGTTGACAGTTTTATAATATCAAACAAAGAGTAACAACTGCACTGCGGAACTGATGACAACAATTGAATTACAACGGCACATATTTTAGGTTTTACTATTAAAGTGCAAGCTACCCCTTTGTTGATATTTGAAGGTTACTATTTTTCTCCTAATTTGTTTTATATCAATTTAACATACACATGTATCTCCCTTTTTCTGGTTAAATTAGGAAAAATGTTACAGAATCTAGGTGTATAGCCTACATGTATTTGTCAATTAAAATTCTATCAAATTAAATGTCCAGGATTAATTATAAGACATAAAAAGGAAAATATTTATTGGAATATACTCAACAGCTCGTTTCTTTTTATTTTTTATAAGTACACATTGTGCGTTTAAAACAGTGATGCATTATTTACTCTTAAAATTTTTACCTATAAAGTTTGTTTCCTGGTGATGGGGCTGTGCTTTTAATTTCACCAATATTTGAACAAAGAAAAGCTTATTTTGTAGATGTGATTTAAAATAGAAATTATATTATATGATAAGTAATACTAAAGCATTTTCAAAACATATTACCGGGATTACATCCCTACTGTTGAGTTATTGCTTTCTTTGTACTTTGCTGATCAATGTTTCACATGCAGTCTATCAACCAGTACATGTATCACTGATACAGCAGTTTGATATATACAATGGTGAAGACTTTCTGATAGAATTAATTTAATTGGAGTGTGGGAACTTTAAAAGAATGTCGATCCCCATAACGATGTGCTGAAATATATTTTTATAAAGACAACTCAAGAGGGATGCTGTCAACATGATTCTGTTAATCAAGCAGTTTATTCACTCAAACCATACAACATGGTACGTGAGGGACACAAAGTATAAATCATATCTATTAAATCGTCAGAGGTACATACAACATATAAATACATAAATAAATATTTTACAACTGCATGTAAAAGAATAGACATATAATATTAACAGTATGTATGTATTCAATGCAAAGAAAAGCACCAGGAGGACAATTAAGAGGAAAAGACAGTCTCAAAGATTTTTGAAATAAATGTACAGAGTTTTCTTAAAGATAAAATAACATAGTTTGCTACGATGGACAAAATTTTCAGTTTTTTTTTCTTCTTCTTTTATATCATTACATTGAATTTTTTTTAATTTTGTTTTTTATGTTGCTGAGGCCGCCAATATTTTCCTTAGTGGGTACATTATATACCTTTATATTACTAGTATATCCCCTCGCAACAGCGTTGGAGGGGATATAGCAACACGCTTTTTTGTGTGTTTGTGAGTGAGTTAGTGAGTGAGTGATGTGTTAAACGGAAGTGACGTAATTTGCATCGGGATAGATGTCGAATGTTGTCTTGATTTAAAGATATACTCTTTGCGAGGGGATGCTCCGCTTTACGGTGCCCTTGTTTAACTTAAGTGTTATTTTAAAAAAAAAATCCTTACTGTTCACGGTTGCTCAGTTGGTAGAGCGCTCGCTCCGTGATCGGGAGGTCGTGAGTTCGAATCTCGGCAGCGACTGACCTAAGTCGATAAAAAAAATGGGTAGCAACTGTTCCTTCGCTATGCGCTTGGCACTTTGAAGTGAAAGTTGCGGGTCCTTCGGATGAGACCTTAAAAACCGAGGCCCCGTGTCACGGCAGGCGTTGGCACGATAAAGATCCCTCACTGCTGAGTGTCGAGTAAAGGTCAAAATTTGAAGCCTTCACTGGTATATGGTGACGTCTCTATATGAGTGAAAAATTCTTGAATGGGACTTAAACAACAATCAATCAATCAATCAAAAAATCCTTACAACATTTACCAGGGGCATGTTTTAAAAAAACTTATGACTTACGACTAAGACCAAACACTGTAGATGATGTTATTTCTCATTTTGTATAACTATTTACATATCTCCCTCTTTGGGGTGGGGGCGGGGGTGTATCGGTAAATTACAGGAAACACTACAGAAGCTTAGATGTAGAGTCATGGCAGTTGAAATTAAAAAAAAAATTATTCTTGTCATTGAACACAATTCCCCCTCCTTTCCTCTCTCATTTCTGTATGCCCCAGCTATAAGTGATGTCTGTGATCACTGATCAGACTCTTGTAAACTTCCTGATTTCAGAATAAATGTTACAACTAGTCA